ATAGTATTTATAATTTAATTTAATTTAGTAATTTATAAAAAAGTTATATATAAATATCCTTTGTAATTTTAGCTTTTGATGATATATAATGCTAATTTAAATGATGTTATTTATTCTTTATTGAATTTAAATAGATATTATGGAATTACTCAAAATCCTAAAACAAACGATTTTATTATTGTTATGAAATATTATAAATATGATTTAAATAATTATATAATCAAAAAATTTAATATTATTAAATGGGATAAGAAATTAAATATATTACAAAAAATTAGCGATGCACTTCATAATACCCATCTTCAACAAATTATTCATCGAGATTTTCATAGTGGAAATATTCTTTACAATAATGAACATGATGTGGTGATAAGTGATTTAGGAATTAGTAAATTATCAACTGAAAAATCAGATAATGAAAATGAGTATTATGGGATTATTCCTTATATTGCTCCAGAGATATTTCAAGGGCCAAAAAGCAATAAATATACTAAATCTTCGGATATTTATAGCTTTGGTATGATTATGTGGGAATTAATGACAGGTAGAAGACCCTTTTGGGATCAAAAGTACGATACAGATCTAATTATCCAAATTTGTGATGGTATTCGTCCTCCTATTATCACAAATGCACCTGAAGGATATATTGAATTGATGCAAAAATGTTGGCTTTCAGATCCGAATAAAAGACCAACTATGGGAGCTATTTGTGACATTATTGATAAAATCATTTTGAACGAAAAAACAAATTCCACAAAGATTATTTATTCTCCAGATATTGGACCTGTCATAATAAATAATCCAGTCACAAGTAAAGTAATAACGATATCGACGGAATCTATAAAAATCGGTAAATAAACTTTATTGGTAATTCTTACACAATTACTTGATAATATTACTAATCTTGTGTATTTTTTAAGGCAAAAAAAAACATGACGATCATCTAATTGAAGATAATGACAATGGTATAAATAAGTTTATTTTAAGTAATCAAATATTGATAATATACTTAAATTTTTGATGTTATTCCAGATGAAAAAATTAAACAAATCAAATTCAACGAAAAGGAATCTAATAATAGTAAGTAAGAATAATAAAATTAACGATCCAAGTTCAATTCATCCATAAATTACATAAATTAATTATTTTGAATTATTCATAGATTATATTTCTAAAACTATAGACTTTGATATATAATTTATTTTTGAAATCATAAATTTGATGATTATATACATAAATAAATAAGTCTTTTATAATATAAAAATAGTAATCTTATTAATTAGTTATTATATTATTGAATAATTTGTCATTGCAAAATATTTAATGTTTCAGATTTGATACTTAAATTCATATAGAAATAATGTAACATCGGCTTTGATAGATATAAATTTACTATCAAATTGCATATAATGAGGTATTGTATTTCATTAAGAAATTAATTTATGCAGCAATAATTAAAATTTTCTAAAAAAAATTCATGAATTCAAATACTTAATGCATATTGACAAATTGACTCATTCTATCTTATAATCTTCATCCTACTCTCAATATTATAAATATGTTCACTATTTATTTGCTAAATATTCCTTTCTTAATATAATGCAATTTAACTGTATTGTTTTGAACGTTTTCTAACTTTTCTAATAACAATATAAGATAGTTATTTTTTCAATCTAGAAATAGTTTAAAATTATTTAATAAAAAAAAGTTTACAAATTGAGAGCATTGGCGTCATATAAAAAGGCACGTGGATTGCAAAGTTGATGAGTTTATTAGTTGGGATATTATTAGTATTTCGAAATTCGAGACAAGTAATTAATTACATAGAAACATCAAGTTCAAGAATTTTGATATTCGCGAGCTGTGGCACAATCGTTAAGAAAATGCGAATGAAGTTACGCGATAATAAGGAAATGAATCACATTTTGTTTCATTACATCCAAAATAAAAATTACTTGAAAGATCCTGTGAATTTAATGTTTGAGCTTGTACTGATTTGCTTTTTTGATATGTCATCAAAAAGAAGTTTAACAGGATTTTGAAGATTTACATTACAAACATAAAATGATACTATTAAAAATTGAAATAGCAACTTAACTACAATTTTTAATATTAAACGTTAATTATAGCATTTAACCTTTTTTTTGACATTCTGTACTGATGGAACTTCACAATAAACATTATTTGACGTTGTTTCTGTTCTGCATTACTAAATGGTTAGTGAATTTATTTATCAAAATCGTGTCTACTTTCGAAATGTTGAATGGTACATTTCCTAACCTCCCTGCCAAAAAATTAATTTTTAATACATTATATTACGCAAAAGGACGTACCACTGTAGCAGGAACCACACGTGATTTGATAGTGCTCAACTAACACAAATCAAATGACGAAATCAATAGAATAATAAGCATGTCTTTTGATTTATTTTTATAGCACACGCAATTTATTTAAGCAACGTAATAAAAAAATCCAACTAAATCAAAAATCCAACCCATGCTTAATCTCTTGACTGAGAATGCCATGAAAAAAGACATGAGCATCATGTAGTTATTATACAGATACATAAATACTTTAATTTTAATGTGCTTTTTCAAAAATAATTATTGTTTTACAAGCCTATTTCGCCAACCTACTAATCGCCGCTGATTTTCAATAATTCCAAGAAGAATAATAGAGTGAAAGCTTTTGCGATTTACAAATCGTGAGCCATTATTAGAAGGATGGTAATTTATGACCTCACACTCAAATCATTGCGTTACATGCAATTCTGTTATATTCAAGTCTCTAAGAATCTATCAGTAAAATAGACTAACTGATCCTTGACTTATCCTAAAGTGTCTTTAATGTTCTTATTCCTGCCAACCGTCATAATATAATTTACTTTCACACAGGAGTTACATTAGTTGCACTTGAATTAAAGTCGGAATTACTTTTCAATCGTGTAACAATTTCATTAAGGTATCATGAGAAATACGTAATATTTTCGAAAAAGTTGTAACCTTCTTCATCTGTTAAAGATTGGCGAAGTTCTCGAGTTCAAGTGAGCGAAAGATGAATGAATTGAATAATTTTACGGACGTTTGGGAAAACAATAATGAAAATATTAATGGAATTATGGTACCGGCTTTTTTGTGCAATGACTGTAAGAAGATCAAGATTGTACACTTCTTCGTAGGGTCCAGTGACCTATATCTGTGAGGATGTATTAAATTCATTCGTTGTGTCAAACTATTTAATAATAGACAAACTTTAATTATGATAAAAAGAGCATACTCTCCTCGGAATGGAATTTATGCACACCTTTCATTTTATTTAATTTCATTGATGAACGAAGTAAGGAATATGGTGTAACAAAATTGGCTTAGCAAAATTTTAAAAAATTCACACTCGGTTCGAAATAATAAAATATTGAACATAATTTGTTCTAATTATTAGTTTTTTTAAAAAAAAATAAATAAATAAATAAAATAAAATAAAAAAAATGAATCGAAACACACAATTCTTTAAAAATTCCATTACTTTGACGTAGCGATTTTTAAGATTGAATTTTAATAATCTGAAACATTTTTACTTATAAATTTTATAAATTGAAAGATTTTAAAATATTTATTAAAGAAAAAATTGCATCAAATCTATTGCGGGATGTATACTCTACCTATTTCATATAAGATAAAAAAAAAAGAGGGCTATTTTAATTTAATTACAACCACTTCTATGAGATCGACCATTCGGAACTACTTGCTACAGAATTGATATTAGCAGTAGTATACTTTATGAAGGGTACAAGTATTCTTTGTTTATCTCTTTGAATGACTATAACTTCTTCAATGGGATTGTGCTTCAAACTTAAGAATTAAGTATTCTTTAATATATTTCTTCCAAGGTTTAAGGCATCTTCAAATACCAAGAACAGCCAATTCAAGTATCACTGAAAAAAAGAATTAAAGTAAAAAATCAATACCCAAAAATTAAATGAATTTTTTATTAATTAGCGAAGCCCGAATTTAGTGACACATGTATTCTAACAGGTTCATGAACCGCGAAACCTGATTACACATGGGTATCAATCCAAGGATGCCTTGAATAATAATAATACAAACCGATTTATTGTGGCAATTTTCTGGGGATTCCCCAAAGTCATGTGCACAAAGGTTACAAAAATCGAATTGGTACTTAAAATGAAGCGAAGAATGCAATAATGCATCGATACAGTATGAGAAAAGACTTATGGAGTAATTTCTTACATGTTGAATGTTGTTAATTCATTTGTTTATAATTAATGTATTGATTGCATTTTAATAGGACTTAACTTGCACGCGTTACATGAAACGAAATTTAGCCACTAGGTATTATTGAAGGTAAAGGTTTTTAATTGATTAACTATCGAGGTGTTCTTCTCTTAGCTTAATCGAAGATAAATAATAAAGAAAATTCTGGATATATTGAACATTATTTTATATAATTTATTTACTTATATATTGTATATATTGTATTTGGAGTTAAACAATGAAGGAGTCTAGCCAATTTCTTTATAAAATAAACCTTTGCTAATCACCGTCAATCATTGAAAATAACACTTATGCTTATTTGACCTTATAATAGATAAATCCGTTTCCATCATTTTCTTTATACCATTATTTTTTATCTCACTTAACTCGTTAAATAAGTTTGAATTTCACATAAATCATAATATAGATGCTAATTGTCGGCGACCATTCAAAGTCCTTTGACCGATCTGACCGGAAGGGCAGTATATAATTGATTTCGTAATAATTTATTTATTTCTTTTTTCCGGTACAGTCCACGGCGTAGCGAGCGGTTGAGCATGATGTGAGAATTAGACTTAACTGCAAGCCAACAGTGTAGGGCTTCAAGAGGATGATGCTTCAGGAAGTTGGACAAGCACTCATGAATGCAGTTTCTTTGGTTTGGTTCTGCTTTTTTCTGATGTAGGAATTGTTATGTACCTTCCCTTACGGATCAATCAAATTGCGTTCATGAGCGGGATCTCTTCACTTTCTGAATACTTTTTGGTGTTACCTACCATCGCAAATATTTTGTTGCAGTAGAATATGTAGGGTTATTTTTGTATTTCTTATTTCATTTTGGTCGTTCTCGTTTAATTAGATCACAATTATTGTAATAAATAAATAATGTATAAATAAAGTTTTGAGATATCTATAAAATAAATGTTCAAAATATATGTAACAAGAATTACATTTCCTCCAGTATGTTTCATTTAAAAAACATGATCTAAGGTTGCGAGGCAAAACCCAAAACCATTTTAAGAAAATTCGAAATCTTTTGGGTTTCGACGGATTTCGATTTCGATGCCATCAGGGTTTGCTCGGAAACCTTAATATATGATCCTTTAAATCATTCTTTCGTTACGCAAATTGTTTATTGACTTAGCTTATACAGGAAGTATAATAACGATTTTATTAAAAATCCGTCCGATGAACTTCTACTCGATTTAAATATGTACATTGAAAAACAAACAGCTTGGATCTAGAAAAATTAAAATTTCATTCGTGCCTTACAGTACACAGTCTTCAGACTCGATAATCATTGTCTTGATTTTTTATTTGCACAGACCCACAACCTAATACTAATTGGATTGAAAAAAAAGACGGGAAGCCTACACAAAGCAAAATGAGTGACAATAGTTCTGGACAAACACAAGATTCAGTAGGCATTATTATCATAATGGACGAAGCATAGTATCACCAACTGCGTCTGACTTCGGACATTGCTTTCCATTCTGTCATTTCTGACCTAAAATGCCTAGGATCACACAGACTATGTCTAGATAGAGAAATTTGGATATCTTCAAGTAATAGTTGGTTTTTCTTTCGTATTTTCCTAATTTCATAATAAATTAATTCTTGCTTGTAACCTTTTCTTCGCTAATTATCGTTCGTTCAATATAATTTATTAATTGATCTCATTATAAAATATCACCTTCGTCTTAACTCGAAATTAGGAGGTAAACATCAAATAATTGGCGCACTCGTCGTAATCATAAGAAAGTTAAAAAAATTTAATTTATAAAAAAAGATTTCAAAAAAAAAAATTCGAACCTTCTTTCCTAGTATTGCCGCAGCTAATAATCTAAAAAAAAAAAAGTAACCTCTAATCTTTACCGTAGTCAAGATACTTGTAAGTGAAGAGAAATATCACTAAACTTAAAAAGTTTATAGTTGATGCAAACGATTTTTTTTTTAAAAATAAAAAAAGTATGTTTTTAAAAATTTATATGTGGCAATTGTATTATGAGTATGCGTCGCTTACTGCAGTAAGATCTTTATATACTTAACAATATTAGCTAGGTTAGTTATCTTTCTTAGTGATGGTATTCAGCTTCCTGTAGTCATCACATAAACGGAGTTTTCTATTCTACCACAACTACTACAATCTTCTGGTTCGATATCATTGAATATTTTTTTTAATACACTTACGATCAGTCGTTGTTTAATCAACATGCAATTTATTATCGTTAATTTTATTTTCACGTAAAACTTTCACATTATTTGCGTCAGTTACTATCTAGGAAAAGTTATATAGATAATTATTTTTTTTAAAAAAATTTTTTTGTCGCGAGTTACTACAAATAAAAAATTTATTATCGTTAATTTTCTTTTTCACGTAAAACTTTCACATTATTTGCGTCAGTTACTATTTAGGAAAAGTTATATAGATAATTATTTTTTTAAAAAAATTTTTTTGTCACGAGTTACTACAAATAAAAAAAAAAAGTTATCGTTTGTGGTAACGTTTTTTGGTGTAACGGAATGAATTTTTTTTTTTACAAGATTAAAGAGATTTTTCGTTTAAAATGACACATTTTTTTTTCGTCGAGGAACATAACATTTTAATTTCCAAAAAGTATTTTATCTCCAAAGATATGTAAATAAATTGACTTGATCTTTTATTAAATCTTTATTGGTATAAATACATTTTAACAAACAGACTCCACAAAAAAAAAAAAATAATAATATATACCTGAACCGCCTTACCTACTCAAACAAATATACATTCACACGCAAAACTCTAAAAAAATAAGAAATTTTCTTACCTAAGACATCCAAATTTAACGTCTAAATAATTTATAAATTAAATTCTTCCGTGTTTTTTCCTATTTAATTTCCGATAAATTTCATAACTAGCGCTAGCTTCTAAATCTAATTTCCTATATATTGCAGTTTTCCTTTGCTAAATAAATTTCGTCTGTTACATCTCAGTGTATTTTACTACTATAATAGTCTACAATTATTCAATTATGATTATGATAACTATTTTTTTGTCTAAATTCTTGATCCATTGTTTCCTCTATTGCTACTTTACAGAAACTTGGTTTTCTTAATAAGCAGTAATTGCAAAGTATCTAGATAGTGAATATACCTAATAGGCACTATGCAGTTACTGCATAGTAAGGAAACAAAGTCTCTTTAAAGTATATAATATCCAGTTTCAATATTTAGTTATAAATATGCAATGACTATCATAACTTACTAATTATTATCAACTCTAAAGATAAATATATATTTTACCGTACCGTGCAAAAAAATTATTACTTTCATTCTAAAATTGGTTGTAAAAAAAAAAATTAGTTAGAATATGTTTAATATATTATTAGAATAATTTTGTGTGTGTATATATATCGTTTTATGTTTAACTAGATACATAGTCCCAAGAACAAATAGAAATATAACAGATTCTACTGATTCCACTTGGTATACCACTATAAAATATATAGTGCTGTAAAATGTATGTACTTGCGTCATAATCATCAAGAACTATGAAAACGTTCACTGTCAATTCACTGACATTTTATACCTAGTGGCATCTTAACTCTGGATACGCAACGACTTGATAAATAACTCAGTAAGATAAGACTTCTACTTCATTTTTTCACGGAAGATTAACAATATTAATTTTTATCATTTTTTATTCTATAAATCCAGTTAAATATTGTTGCTATACGAGAGAAACCCCGTCTACAGTTTGTGAAAAAAAGAAAAAAATAAAGTTTTATTTTTTTAGTAACTTTTGAAGTTTCGAGGAAGTATTTAATAACAGAAAATTTTGTCAAAAGTTATACTCTATTATTACTTACGGAAAGAACATTTACAGCAGATCTTTAGGAATGACTCGAAAATTTTAATTCACAGAAAATTTTTGCATCTAGTGGTTATACTTTAATAAACAAGTCGACTAAAAAATGAATATAATAAAGTATAAGGTTAATCATTATCACCTAATAGATATCTCGCGAATGGTCGATACTATCATGGCTTGTTCTACCAGCGTCATCATATCCTGCACTAGGCGAACTAGTTTCAGTTTACATACTAGAAATTTAAGCCTAAAACTAAAGGTTCCTGAGACAGAAAATGACTAATTTTGTCTATGACTTGAAACTGGTATGCTACCAGGTTGTGCCTGAGGTATCGCATGCACTAAGTATTACGTTTAGTCTACGATATAGAACGATCTATGCCTATAAGTATATTCGACAATTCGTCATATCTACGTAAAGGAGTCCTTGCAACATATTCCCTTTATAATAAATTTTCTCTTTTAAAAAAAAATATGACGCCTATTATGACCAAAATCAGATTTTGCATATGTTTTTCCAAAACTAAAACAAATTATAAGGTATGTCAGGTAGATAGATAGTTTGATTATGGATAAATTCTATGTTTAATAAAAGTTATATAACCGATCTCACAGGTAGCACTTACATTTTTGAGAAAAAGAAAGAAATATAAGAAAGTTATACCGGTTAGGGAAAATGAAAAGTATATTTGGTATGTGAAATATGATTCATTCTAAGCCACATACATACAAATAGTATTTCAAAACTAAGTAAAAATTTTTGGTTTCTATTTATATTTAAATATTTAAAACTGTTTTTATCATTATTTTATTATTTTTATTAAAATGATTTCATATCATCAATATTAATAAAAAAATCAAAGTTATAGAAAAACATAAAAACCATAAATTATATTTAGAAATATATAAGAAAACATTAGAAAATACTGTATATATAATATTTTTTTTTATAATAAAATTATTTTAAAATATATAAACAAGATATAAAGTATTATTATTAAAAAATTATAAATATATAAATATATAAGGTAATTATAATTATAATAATTAATTAATAATATATAATTATAAAATTAATTGTATACATAGTAATAATTAATTTAAAGAATTAATTATATAATAATTTATTCTAATTTGAAATTTTAATATATAGAAAATAATTATTTGATAGATTTTATAGATTTTAAAATATATTTTATAAATATTAGAATATTAAATATAATTAATAAATAATTATTAATATATCTACTATATAGTTTTAAAATTAAGTACTAATTTATCACATATATACTAATAAATTCATATATATCGCAGGATGCTTATTTTCAAAACTATACAGTAATTTACATTTTTCTAATATAAAAATCAATTTAATTTAATCAATCTAATATCTAATAAGCCATTTATTATAAAAATAAATCAAAAATATCTAAATACTTTACAAAAAAAATAATACTAATATATTTAATTTTAAATA